ACAATTTCTTGTGGCTTTTAAAATACCACCATCTATCAGAATGTGCAAGTGTTTGCAGTGCTGGCACTGAATGGTTAAAATGCTGCTTTTTCGTAACTATAACTTTATAACATAACCTTGGGAATTAATCTCCCTAGTTGTTAAGGCAAGAAAGTAATTGGATTTTCTTTCAGGTAACTTTTCTTGCCCCCACCCCTCCACCACCACCCCCCCGTTTTCTGTACCAATCATGAAAGCATGGGTAAGCACTTGCATGTTCTTCTCAGGAATAATTAGTGATGTTTCACCAATTACCATTTGCTGTTTTATAACAGGTTCGTTTTTTTCCCAACAACTTTTTATAAACATTACTTGTAAGAAATGTTCTTCCATATTTCAGAGTTCTTTACAATTTAGCTCTTGCTTGCTGTCCCCCCCTTTAAACCTCATCTGTCCAAATTTAAGCTGAAATAAATTTTTTTTCATTAAAAATGGAAAGAAACTCAAGAGCTTCCACTGTGCCACAGGAGTGTGCATTGGAGAGAATCTTTGACTGGGCGTCCAGTCTCCAAAGTGCGTGAAATACTGAATAAATAAACTTGGGGAATAAGTTCCTTTTTCCTTTTTACATCCAATCATAAGTAATTAAAAAAATAAGATTTATTATATCATTTCTGTTCCCATTACTTCATCTATACAATTACGCAGTTGTTCTTGGTCCTACATATGATCCAAGGCTTATGGGCTCTTCAGTTGTGATTTGTCCATTAATTAAAGGGAAGATAATGTAGTGCAGTGGGTGGAGCTGGGGACCAGGAATCAAAGCATCTGAGCTCTTCCTTCTCCGTTGGTGACGTGAGGAAAGTCACTTGTACCTCCTGATCCATATTGTCTCTGGGACTCTCAATATAATTATGTTAAAGTGCCCCCAGGCAATGAAATGAAGGCTGAAATGGCAATATAGCGAGTGCTTCCTTTCTCAAGCTCCACAGAGATGTTCAGCTGCAGGTTTCAGGTCAAGTCCCTTTCAGGTCCTTCAGCAATATGCCTCTTATAATTATGGAATAACATGCTGGTGCCTATTATGTACTTCTTTATGAGGAAAACATTCAGCTAGTCTTTGAGAATGATTGAGCATCAGCAGTGATGGATAGAAAGGACTGGCTTGGTTTCTGAGGTCCCAGAGCTTGTATGAACCCGGGAGGAGGAAGGAGGATTCTTTCCTATTCCTTCCTTATTATGGACATGTGGGTATTTCCTGTGATGTTCTGGGAAGAGAGAACAGGAGTTCCCACTCTACTGACACCCCTAACAGTCATTACACTCCGTTTTTATCTGTATCTGTTTTAAAAAAAGAAATCAAATGAGACAAAAAGCAGACGAACAGTAAAACCTCTGTATGAACAAATAGACCAGGGGAATAAACAATAGGAAATAGCCAGCATATCCCTTTCTGAGTCTTTCAGGGAATTCCATGTCTTGGAGAAAAAGCTGGAAATGAGGAGGAGCCCAGAAGAAAGACCAGCATGAGATGGTTGGGATCGTTTTTCACTGCCAGGACTGCACTGTGTTGTTTCTCCTTTTACAACTCATCGGCAGGCATTATTACCTGGTGAAGAAATTTGTTTTGCAGCTCATCCTGAGCCCTCATAAATCATTAATGCCTGGCTAAGCACAGTGTGAGCATTACAAACACTCTGAGAATGAGGGCCCATTCTGATATAACCTTGTGTCCAATACTAATGCCTGCTAGTTATTTAGCAATACAAAGGGGCCTCGGCTAGGAAGATCGATGAATCAATGCAGTCTCCTGACTTCCTTCTCCTCTCCACCTGCCTCTTCTCTGTATGGTTCAGAAACTGAACTGCAAAACATGGGACTGTGTGTAGTCAGCTCTGTAGAGGGCAGCATGACAAGTCTGGGGCAAAGGAAGGAATTAGGTCCTCCAAATGGGAAAAGGGAGCTCCAAATTCTGATTAGGGCTTGTTCTGATTTCTTTCTTATGAGCCAAATGGCACAGCTGTTCCAGACCTGTGTTTTGTGCTTTGCATCCTTTAATGAATGCATGTGGCGTAAAACACACTGGAGTGTGGAAAGTATGTAAACAGAAACTGGGACCAGGAACTGCAGGACTGGATGTAATTAAAGGGTGTTCAGCAAAGTCCAAGTAATGAGTCTGTTTCCTGGGGAGCTGTCTGAGGGCTTAGACGTTCCAGTCGGCTCACACACTTACAGCAGATAGCACAGAGAGCTTCCATCACTGAGAGGCTGAACTTCAGCTCTCATTATTCAGCCATCTTGACCACAGTCTTGATGTTAAGGATGGTCTGTACCACCTGCTCACCCTGAGCCCACCCTCCAAAAAAACCCAGCCGAGTCAGAATGAAAGTAAACCCTATTTCGTCTTCTCTCTCAGAGCACAGGATCCATTTGTGTGGTTGCTATGCAGTTGTGTCTTTGAACACTAAAAGTAAGTGATCGTCAGCTTTATAAGGAGAAAATGGAATGAGGTGAGATGTAGAATGACCTCTTGTGTAAGTGTACATACAATCTTGAACTTGGGTGACTTAGTCTTGGTTGCCTTTGTCTTGAAAGACTTCTGCAGGGAAGATTGTAAGTGGCTGCCACAGATACTAAAGAGAAGGAGCTTGAAGGGGAACATAGGAAAAATGCCATTGTTGTGGGTGGAGGACAGTAGGTAGGCAAATTTGAAAAGGAAATGACAGAAAAAACAGAAAACACACGTGAAATTGAGTAGAGGATATGAGAGGCTGTCGGAAAGTTGAAAGGGGAAAGTAACTTTCTTTAAGGCGTGAAATGGTAGCAAGTTGGTCCAGAGGAAAACATGGGTACTCCAAGTGAAAGTGGGAACGTGGGCCAAGGGAAAAGAGTCTTTTGTACGTGAAAAGGAACAGAAACTTACCTCCTCTACAATCCACCAAAAAATATGCAGCCGTCAGGGTTTAACCCAACAGGTAGCACAGCGACTGAAATGTTGGTGTGATATCAATACAGTTTTTCTCCTAAAATTCAACATAGCCCAGTATCAGACATTAAGGAGGTAGAATCAACTCCGTCCCAGCTGAATGAAGGACAGCAACAGAGAAAAGACATAATGCCATTCCTGTGAAACCAAAGGCGTTAGTTACTTGGGCTCTAAATCAGGCAAAACACCCAGAGTATCCGTGGTCCTTCACTAGGGCCTGCGTCGTTGTGCTTCAGCTGAGATAAATCCCTTAAAAATAGCCCCTGCTATAGCACCCACAGGACAGAGTGGTTTATTTTCCTCTATTATAGATCTGACACAACCTGCTGTTACTTCCGTGCCCTCTCTAATGATCTGCTTGCTCTCTGGAGAGCACTGACCCATTTCAGCACAGAATAATTAGCCTTTCAGACACTACTGTGTTTCCATTAAATAGACATAAATGTGCAAGGTGACATTTATTTACTTAGGCCTGAAAAATGTGCGCTACAGATGTTGGGGCTTGGGAGAACTTCTATTTGTTTTGACACAGCAGTTTACATTTGTATGTTTTGTGTTGTTTAACCTCTGGTGTTTCTCTCTTGTGGAGTTTCACTGGGGGACAGGAGAGCACAAAGATTATTTGGGTCCCTATTTCATAAGGCCATTTGGCAATGCTTTGGCAGCACAGTGCCCAAACCTGACACAGTGGCTTTAAACTTAATTCTAGTAACACATGCCAGCTCCTTTTAACTTTGGATTCCATGTAAAGAAATGTTGATTTACAGATCTGTCTGAAGAAGGATGTGCTTAGGATGTTACAGTGAGAAAATGAGAACCTTGACCTATTGCAAACAAAATAAAACCAAAACTCTTTAGTATTTAAAATCAGCTCTTTTATCATCTTGATCACCGGCTTTTGAACAGCCAGACTATTGCCTAGGTGAAAAGTATATTATTCATCTTGATAGCCACTTTGGCCCACAGAGTTGGAGGGAAGGCTTACCCTTAAAAGTTCAACTGGTTTATAAAACATGTAGGTTGCTCAGCAGTTCACATCCACACATGGAGATGTGGCATGCTGTCATTCCATTCCGTTAGTACCACTAGGCTTTATAAAAGGAGGCATCAAGCAAGGTAGGTGCTTTATTGCAGGATGGAAACACTTTCATAGGTTATTTTAATCATTACAATTCTTTCATGATGTGTGAAAGTTGATTGTTGCTGTAAATGAAGCCATTGAAGGCAAAAAATAAAAATGCTGCGATGGTAAAAATCCTTGGAGTGCAAAAAATGGGAATTACTATAGAAGGCAGTAATTTATTCTCTGTGTGAGGTTATTTTTTATCATAAGGATGCTTTTAAACTAATTCTGATATGTATATATTGTAATCTATAGAGCTGAGGTATATTCCAAGATGTATTGATAATTCATTTAATTGTGTATGCAATTTAATCTATATATTATTTATAAGTACTATTTTACTCTGTTAACTGAGAGGCTTAACACAATTTTACTATGTTAAGGCTAAGTTATTTTTGCAGGTCTTGTGGTTTTATTATTTTGACCCATATCCAGTTCATATTACATCATACCATATTTTTACTAATATTATTCTAGTATGTTCAAAGCTTATTTGCATTTGGATAGAAATTCATTAACTCTTGATTTTTATTATAACAAATTATTTTAACTTTTCTGTGATATTGCATTCTCTGTGTTTCTGATTTGCTGATGCTTAAATATTTTGTTTTCATTGTAACCTTTCCAAATTCAGGATTGTTTTTGCTTTTTTTTCTCTATATGTTTCCGTTGTTTAGACCTACTGGTTCCTGCTTTTTCTTTTTCCTTTTTTTTAATTTTTTTAATATGTTATGCTTGTAACTTCTGACTGTCTGTGTTGAGCCAATCTTACCAACAAAAATATCAGTTATTTCCTGTTTCTCTACTTCTTTACAAAAAAAAAAAAAAAAAAAAAAAAATTGAAAAGTAAAAAGTAAAAATAAAAAACTCTTAATGGGAACCCTGGCACTGTCTGTCTTCTCTGTTCTGCAGAAATGTTGAAGGAGTTGAACCAGCAACGCAGAGCGAAAGAGTTTACAGACCTGAAAATTATTGTTGAAGGCAAAGAGTTTGAAGTCCACCAAAATGTTCTAGCTTCCTGCAGCTTGTATTTCAAGGACCTGATTAAAAGGTTTGCCTTCCTTCCAGCTGTGATCTGCTCTGTTCTTTTGTAGGGCGCATTTGTGTCGCTTTTTTTTCCTCCCCTCTCTTGCAGGTTTATGAAGATTGAATCTCCTGTCACAGAGCCAGTAGCCATTCTTTCCACTTCCTCTGAATGTATTTCCAAACTGAGACTCAGATCCATTTGTTACACATCTGACTCGTACAGTGTAATTATTTCTGATCAGTAGAGGCCTGTTTTGGCCGAAGAGAGTGTTCCACTACTGAGAGATCTAAGATTAAACTGATCTGCTAATAGCAATTCAGTAGCTGATCTGCTGATAGGCTCCGACTAAACACTATCGCTGTCCATGCTTTCAAGGGACTCCATCACATCTGACAGAAGTTTATCCTTCAAGCTACACTGAGCTGTCAGCATTCTGGGGAACGATGCTGAGACGTCGTGCTAATAGAGGATTTTGATGAGCTTGATCCCTTCACCCTGAAATCTTTGTTAACATGCTTTTGCGTGCCTTTTATGGGCAAAGGGATTGTTATTTTTATTATCCAGGGATTTTTGAGAGAATTAAAAACAACTGATGAATTTCTCTGTAGAAAAGATTGGAAATAAGACTTTTTTTTTTTTCCTGGTCAAAATATAGCTCAGTCTGCATATTAGACAAAGCATAGTTGTTTGCCACAAACACTTGGCTTTGGGTAGGTGCAATACATACATTTTCTAAACATCAGGTCTCCGCCTTCACATTTTCCCCCCTCTGTTTCTAGCTGATTGATTCTAAACAGTGCATGATAATCTTTTTTTTCCATTACATTGATTTTTCAATTTGTATGCTTCATATACTTGCATAGGAATAAATTGGCACTCTCATATTATTAGTAAGTTAGAGTAGCAAGTAGGGAGAAAAAAAACCACGAGGATAACTTTCATTTTTCTCTCAATCATCAGCAAATTAATGCAGCTGCTGATTTTGCCTTGCAGTATTTTCCTGAGCAGACTGAGCCTGGACTGTGCTAAAAAATGGGATTAAAGAACATTTTGCTTGCTTCAAATCCTGTATTTAAATTTCGCCAACTAACACAATAGTGACTGTATTTTATTTCAGGATGGCATATTGGCTGGTATCTCCTTTCAGTGTATCATGTCCTTTTGCACAAAGCTGGTTTTATAATTATGGATATATATTACACTTCTATGATATAACTGTGCTGACTGCCTTATCAATTATTCATAAAAAATATGTTGGCCTAGGAAGCATGTCTTTTCCCCTCTGTAAATCTAATGATTGCTAGCTGTAGCTACAGACAGATCTCTCCTGTCCTTTCTCTCTGTCTGCTCATTATCATTTAATAGTAAAGTCTGGAGAATATGCTTTTAGGGTGACAAGGTGTAGAGTCTGGAGGGAATGAAGATCTTCTCATAATCAACTTAGAGAAATATAAAAACTGACTGGCCAAAGACCGTCATCTGCATTTGCCTGCAAAGACATCTGCTTGTGTGCATAAATCACCAGGCAGCATCTATTTTTAGAGAAACATTGCTGCTGTATTATTTCCTTACCAAATGGAGATATAGTTCACATCTAAAGCTGTTTTGGTATGCGCTCATTTAAAACAAACAAACAAACAAAAAATTAATTAAATTCTCTGAAAAGAGACTCTAAGAGCAAAATCCTACATTTCAGCATTCTTGCTTGTCAGTTGTTCACACAAAGCTCACACGTGATGCAGGAAAAAAATAGCCAGAGGTTTAGCCCATTTGCCAACCTCACCATTTTTTTGCTTTCTTTCACATCATCATCAGCAATAAGTACTGCAGAGGTTGATTTGTGCCCATAGTCAGGTCTCTCCATCCCAATTACCTTCCGTGTACGAGTATAATCTCAGTTGTACACGTGTAACCTTGATGAAGGCTAATGGAGTTGCACAGGTGTATCCAAGGCAAAAATACCTTTATTACTGATGATCATGCTTGAATAGGGAAAAATCCAGCTTGGTGTCTAGTTGAGTTTGCAAAAATGTCAGGTGAGAAAAATAAATATTCACCTGTAAATTGATCAAATGTGTCTTTGCAAGACAATAAACTTAGGAGTACAGAGGGGAATTTCTGAAGACTTGCTTTCTAGAGGATATTTGTGGTATAGAGCTTAGTCCTTTTAGAAACCCCATGAAGTCAATGAAATCGTTCATTGAAAGAGACGATCAGTACTTTTCAGGATCATGCCCTTAGTAATCTAAAATCATTATAGTTCACAGAGTCAGTATGTTTATAAATGCAGCATGTCTAGAATCCTCTCCCGATATTTATTAGTAGCTCCTTTGAGATGGCACTTATGGCTTAATGTGATTTATATTGCACTCTTTGTATTATTATAGAAATCAAAACAACAAATGGCATTTTTTCGTGAAGAATAAATGAGATCTCTCTATGTTAAATATAACATAAAAGCCATTTCAGCTAGTGAGCGCTAGGGTTAAACTCTGGAGCCGTTCCAACTGGAGGCACCAGTAGATTACTAGAAACTTCAGTGGGAAGATGATCTATTCATGAAGACGCTCTGTGCATCCATATAGAGATGCAGGGAAAAAAAAAAAATTATACATTTTGAGAGTATTTACTTCAGCTGTTCTTTGCCATGGGCTAGTTACTGTTAACCTCATGTTCTGCCATCGATTCAGCTGTGTGTTGTACTTGGTATCTGACAGTAGAATAGCAATTGGTGTCTCAAAAGAATAAAAATGAAATGTTCAAAACCAAATAAGATCAATTATCCCCTCCTTAAAAAAAACAAAACATAGACAAAAAGCAGAATAGAATGAGAGGTACATGCCCAACAGCAAGACTGTTTGACAAGGATGAGTTGTGGTATTAGTAGGGAAAAAAATGCATTGTTTTCAGCATGCCTTGTGGGAAACTAGATTTGATTGACCAAAACAACTCTAGAATTATTGATTATTTATGAAATAAATTTGACAATGAGAATGCACCTTGAGATCTCTTACTTTCTCATATTCTGGTCTTAATACAGAAAAGTTGTTCTCCCACATGATTTATCTTGGAACAGACAAGTACGGCCCTTTTGAGCCAGTCCTCAGTCTAAGTTCAGCACTGTAATGTTGGAAATGGGTTAACCAGTCCCCTCTAAGAGTTGCACAGCACTCAACCCTAACCCAGTACCCAATATTCTTCCTTCCAGCAGCAGCAGATCATATAAAACACTCTTAGTCTTTTTCAGTACAAAGTCATCTTAAAAAAAAACTAGGTATTAGGAACAGCAGGTGTGAAATGTTCCTGATGTCTGCTGCACTTCACTGCAGGGAAAGAACAGAGGTGAAACATGGGGGCACGTGAAGATGGGTGCATGCTCAAGGCTGCTCTATAGCAGGATATATTGCAGTAATTTCAAGTGTCAAGAACAGTTTTATACAGTTTGAGGAGTGTTAGTTCTCTTCATACAATCATTTTTTAAGTTTAATCTTTTTCTGAATATTTGTGAATGTTTGTGCCTATTTTATAATAGGTATGAGGTTAAGTACTTGTGGCCTTACTGCTTTCTCCTTCAGCCATAGAGCACAAAGAGAAGTTGATGTTTAGGGAAAAGTGGGTGATAAATAGCAGCTGGAATGGGGATCTGGACTCTAAATACCATGTTATGTGTTTTGAGTGCACCATCAACCACAGTTGCTTCCAATTTGTCTGTTTGCCCTCTAATTAACAAACACCTGTGTTTGGGGTATTTAAGAACTCAGTCTTCCCAGAACAAAGGTCTAATTCCTAGTACAAACAATGACGAAAGGCATTCTGGAGGCTTTAAGAAGGAGCTTTATCTGATGGTTGAGGTACCCATATGCGGGCAGATAGGAGTTTTGTCAGGAGCAATTAGAAGTGGTTGTTTCTTGCTGTTAATCCACCAATGTTTAAGCCTGAAGTTGGTACCTAAGGTAGGATTGGTCTGTACTCACCATCTCTCTTCTTGCTGCTCCCTTCAGAAAGGGAGACAGGACACTCCAAGAAATGAGTCAGCTTTCCATAAAATAGGTACCTAAGATAGGATATGAAGGAGGAGACCACCCTTCTTTACTGTTGATAAAGAAAGAGCCAAGGTAATTTAATTAGACCACAAATTTATGGTGGGTGTTATGTTGCTTACTTAAAGGGTTCAGCTTCATCTGGTTGTCTGACCTTCTTCTGCAGTTATGAGGGAAGACAGGAATGTCCAGAAGGCAATTTATCCTACCTTATGATATAGCATAGAGTAGATAACCTTCTGGAAATGCTCATTTTTTATTGCCCAGAGAGAAAGTCCAGTCAGCCAACTCTAGACACCTAAATTGCAGTTGACTAAAGCACATGAGCTATTCCTTCCAGAAATAGTGTTTGTCTGGATGCTACATATGTATGCTTATATAGAGAGAGGAAAATCAGAGAGTAAGGGTCTGTATCTGTATGCCCCTCTTTCAAATTTCCTTATTTAAGCCAATGCTGTAGTTACAGCTCCTTGGTTTGGGAGAGGAGAGGAATAAGTTCTGTGTCTTTCTACCTGTAATAGAAGAAATGAATGGGAGATGCATGGTCCTGTGAGGAGGGAAGGAATGGAAAATCCTATGAGGATGTGTCATTTTTTCCATCTTTGTTTGGGACAGACAAGGACGGCTGCTGGATAAATGGAATGTCTAATATTTCCAAAGAGAGCTAGACCGGAACATTTCAATTTGCTGTTTTCTTCCCCTTAATCCAAGCCAAAATGCTGGAACCTCTACCAAATATTACATTAATAATAGGAAGTACTTGACATTGAAAGCCTTTTCTTGGCCAAAAGGCTGGCTTTTGTAAGCAGACTTCAGTTTTATTTCTCTGTGGTCAGTTACTGAAGATGCGCAGCTCTTGCCTCATAAGCTTTATCTTTTCAAGATAGCCTTTTAACGATGCTTTCTAATCTCGCACTCATACTGAGTGCCTAATTCCACTAGTGCAGAGCAGTAAGTCACATACACAAAGAGCTTCAGTCATAAAGCAAACATTTTTGATGCAGTGTGATCTGGCAAAGCTGTGTTCATCCTTCTTTTCCTAAGGAGCAGAGCCAGTGAGTTCGTGGCCAAATTGCTTTTCCACAATACCTTGCTTCTTTTTGCAAGTATTTCTTTTTTCTAAAATAGGGCTGTATGTACTCCCAGGACTTGGAGGCAGAGCAGGAAGGCGGGAGGCATAAAGCATTTAAGGTGAAAGGACCAAATTCCTTTTACTTCACACCTACACTGAAGACAGAGATGTCATTCTGCATTTTACACCATTGTGAGGAGAGGCAGCATTTGGATGCAAGACAGAGAAACCTGCCGCTATCCATCTGAAGCAGTCTGACAAAACTGCAAAAGCATTTAGGTGTCTGGAAAACAGACTGTCTGGTTTGTGTTTACGTTGTAAAAAGCCCAAAATGAGAAATAGCAGATGAAAGAAAAATCTACTCTTGGTGACCTCTTCATGTTTCCCTGCTTATTAAGAGCCCTGCTTTTAGCTCCAGGAGAAGAGAAGGCAGCATTTCTACATCTGCACGCTTCAGCTCCACCGTAGAGCAGAATGAATGTGGAAACAAATTATAACATTTCTTAGGAAATGGAGAAATAGGGAGTTAAAAATATGATGCTTATGTCAGATGCCGGGAGAGGTATAGCGTATGTAGACGGAGCACCAGTGGTTTCTGCTAAATCATTTAAAGGAGTCTACAGGAATGGGAGGTTGCATGGGAGTATAAAATATTCTTCATCCTTTTACTGCCTGGGTGCTGGCTTGAATTATGCTATGGACGACATTTTCTTTTAAACAAGGAACTGATAATTACTGTGCGATCTAGGCAGGGGAGAGAGAGAGCTTCTGCATTCTGTGCCCCCCTTTCCATGAGCCACACTTACACCCGCATGTCACAGCTGCCTGCTGGGTTTCAAATTTTGCAGCTGTTGGGCCTTGGAAAACATGTTTTCATCAAGCAAAAATGTATGGGCTTCTACGTAAATGAGCTGCAGCTTAGAGATATTCAGCAGTGCTAAGGAATTACAGTCCAACTGTTTCCAGCCCTGGGTGTGGAGGGTGAAGGGTCTGGGCTGGATGCTGGCTCTGCCAGGTGGGACAGATCCATGTGCCTTGCTCAGAAGTGAATCCCAAGTGAGGAGGACAAGAGGGCTCCTTTTCAAGCCTGAAAGTACCATAGAGTAATGAAGCTTCTGCCTCATAATGGCTGCAGCTCACCAAGCACTGTGCAGAAATCACTTAACCTCTCTCTCCTCTCCCACACTGACAGCATCTCTATTTACTGTAGTGTGGGCTCCTCACTCACATAATTTCCAGACACAACTACAAATCCTGTGAATGTTATTCAAGGAATGACAGACTAATCAGCTCTCTTACTTGGGCTAGACCCATCTACAGCCATGCAGCTGTCATGCAACCACTCGTAAGATGCTGGTGCATGTGAAGCACCTGTATTTACTTACATCTCGCAGCCCTGTTAGGCTTGACTGTGTTGAAATTTAGAGGTGAAAGGGGACGGTTATCTAACAAGGTCCAGTTTAAGCTAAATAGATCAAAGACAAGGAGAAGAACTTCCATAGTGCAGGAAGTAGAACTGTGATCTTGAAAGCTGTCATTTTGGGTACCTTCAAAAAGCATACCTTACCTGAAAACAAGAGCAATCAAATCTCTGACTCCAGCGTGTTAGCAGGTCGCACCAGGGGTCAGTCGTTCATTTCCTTTTATTTAAATCATCAAGGATTAGCCACTGCTGGATTGAGGTAATGAATGTGAACGAATATGACCAGGTTATGAGCACGTCAGATTCCGATCCTGTCTTTTTGCTTGTGCAGCACTGGGCTTTGATGCGCTGAGAGTTCAGCAGGGACAGGGCAGGATCTGAATCATAGAATCATTAAGGTTGGAAAAGACCTCTAAACTCACTGAGTCCAACTGTCAACCTATCCCCCCATGCCCATTGACCACGTCCCTCGGTGCCACATCTTCCACATTCCTTGGACACCTCCAGGGACAGTGACCCCACCACCTCCTTGGGCAGCTGTGCCACTGCATCATCACTCTTTCCAAGCAGAAATGTTTCCAAATATCCAACCTGAACCTCCCCTGGTGTAACTTAAAGCCATTTACCTCTCATCCTGTCACAGCTTACCCGGCTAAAGAGTACAATCCCCATCTCTTCAGCCAGCACTGGCAGTGGAAGAGCAACATTCCCTTTCCACGTATCCCATGGCTGTAGGTGATGTGATGTGATGCAATTACCTTTTATTGACGCCCCAAGCATAGACTGCTTCTACAAGTACACCACAGGAACAGCCTGTAGCTGAGTGACAAAGAACTGGTGCATGACAAAATGAGTTCTAATTACTGAAATGGTGATTGGGATCTTTGGGCACTACCATAATTGTTATAGTAGTAATAAATAATAATACTGTGGTTATCATTATTTTATTATTGTTCTCCCTCTAGACATTGCAATGATGAGAAAGCCTTGGATAGACTTACCTAGATAATTACTTGTATAAATTTCACCACATTCCTAAGAAACAGATTTATTAGCTGCATAATGCCAGCTCTCTGCTAAGCTGTTTTTCGATGATGTAATAAATATCATTAAAACAAATCAGATTTGGGTTGGTTGAGGGGGTGAGCTTTAAGCTAGATGAGAATAGATCTTCATTCTGTCATTTTGTTTTAAATCTTCCCATGTAAACTACAAAAACCTGTTTGCATCTTTTATTTACCTTTCAGAAACAGTAGCTCGGACCATTTTGGCACACGTTTGCTGAATTAGGCAGCCAGAAGTACTTTCAAGCAGGTTAGGGCCGCGCTGGCAATGGATTGGCCTGGCTTTTCCCTTCTCCATCTTACAAGAGTCGGTGCATTCTCAGTCCCTAGCAGAAGTCTGGGTCATGGAATGCTATTCTTCCAGGGGCACTTGCTGTTTGCTTGTTCATTCACTTGCTTAAGCCAGCGTCTTGAAACTTGTCATCTTCTTTCTTAAATCTCAGCAGGGAGGCAGATTTCTGCCTCAGACTGTGATCCCAACACTGTAGCCTGCCACTGATCCCTCTACTTTAGAATCAGGCTTTACCCGGCAATTAGGCTGCGTTCCCTCTTTGAATAGCATTAAGGGTCTAGATGAGACGTGGCTCTTTTGTTAGTTTTGTTTTATTCTGGCCGCGTTGTTTGTGAACAAAAGCATTTGCTGATAATCCCATTGCTCGACTTGGTTTGTAATGATCATTTGTGGGATGGTGAATTAGCGGAAGGCTGCTGTGTGCCCCAGCTCACAGCCATTGATTTTCCTCATTTCCGTCATAGAGCAGGTGCAAGCAGACAGCATTTGACCCTAATAAGTTAAACCAGTCTTGCCAAATTTTGTTTGCCTGGAACGAGGAGCATTATTTGTATCAACATCACAGTAAAAAGTGAGCAAATTGATTTGTCGGTCAGGTAAATTTTCGTGACAAATTGGCAAGCCTGTGTTTAAACAGTGTAATTTATTTAATCTTGTGATTTTACTAGTTCTTTATCATAATCGTACAATAGCGCCATTACAGTATATGTTTTCTTCTCTCATGAGACAGATGGATAGAGGCTGAGGCTCAAAGATAGTATTTCTCTACAAGGTAGTATAACGAAGGCAGAGATTTGCAAGTTAATACATTCTGAGCTGATAAAATAATTCCAAGGGAGAAGCAATGCTGGGGTGTAATTTATTTTTTAAAAATCCTGTTTAATAGAACATTCAGTGCCTTATGACATACATATTGCAATGATGTTGCTCTATAAATGTCCCTTCCTGTCATCATTTACGTGATGGATTACCTTGCAGCTGCATAAACTTGAACAGCACAGTAAATAACCTCTGTGCACTGTGTGCACATGCATCTTGGGGTGTGTGTTGTGGGAACGCATGTGGGTCTGTTTGTGCAATGCTGCTTTTATATTTCATGAGCCCGTAATTAGGATAAATCAAGCTCCTTAGTATGAAATACTACTTTCCATGTAGAGTGGCTTGTCGGTTCTGTTCGTAGTTGAAGGTTGGGTAGAATATAACTAAATTTCTTGTTTTATCTCCCAAGATAAATAGATATGTGAGTTTTGAACCATTTAATAACTCTGACGATGAAAAGTCAAGTAGTGGACAGTTAAGATGCAGCAACACAGCACTCTCTTTGCCTGGAATTTCAATGCTATAAGGGTTGTGTTCCACAGTAAACAAGATACTCAGTTTAAATTGTATAGACTTGAACAGGAGTTTTTAATGAGCACATAGCTAACAGACTCTTAAGCCTCGTGAGAAGCTGCCTGTCCCAGTCTGGAGTCCTTTTTCAGTAATCAAAATAATTTGACCGAGATAAAAAGGTGAAGCTTCCCTTCATTTGTATGTTTCATCTTACATAAAAATCTTGGATTTCCTGTTTTCTGTAGACCAAAACACTGAAGAGGGAACAAAACAATTTAATTTGATTTCTTTTCCCCCTATCTTGGTAACAAATATTTTGCTCCAGTGGAATGAAGAAAGAATTAATGTAGGGTAAGCGTTGATGTTGCCAGTTATGAAAAGAAGCTAACAAGATCAGGGTGTCATGCTGATGGGGCAGATTTTGGGAGCGCACAGGCAGCTGCCAGGCCAGGACACTGCTTTGCTCCATGGAGGGAGAGATCAGCCCCAAATATGTGCTTTAGAAGCATATACTGGGATGGAGCTGGAGCTCCTGCTTGCATGCTGGCCATCCTGTAGAGCGCTATGAGCTAAACCTTGTGCTTTTTGTGGAGGTTATTGTGATTCCTGGGCTGTATGAGATCCTAAACAATAGAATTGGAGATTGGAACTAGATGATCTTTAAGGTCCCTTCCAATCTAAACCATTCTGTGATGATAATTATAGTCAGAGATGCCATTGTTTTTTCAATTGGAACTCCAGAGCTAGTCTGATTTGGGAACAGGTTGCCCAGCGAGGCTGTGGGTGCCCCCTCCCTGGAAGCACTGGAGGCCAGGCTGGATGGGGCTGTGAGCAACCTGGGCTAGAGGGAGGCGTCCCTGCCTTCAGCAGGGGGTTGGAAGTAGATAATCTTAAAGGTCCCTTCCAACCCAAACCATTCTATGATTCTATGCTTTCCTGCAGGAAGCAGCAGGTAATGGTGGCAGCTCCCTGCAAGCTGATGGGCTGTGGGTAGGGAGAAAGCAAAAGGCACCAAGTCCCATGTGCCACCTGCTCTTAGTTTCAGCAGTGGTAATTCTGAGAGTGCCTTTATTTTACAAGATAATCATTTATGTCAGCACCATGTGCATCATACCTTTGAGCCCACAGCACAGCGAGTCATATGGCTTCCGATGTAAATAGGTGTCACAAACTGTGTCAGGCCTCCTGTTCCCAGTGAGCCAGTCTGGGAGGAAGTTGAACCAACTGTTCCTAGTCAGTAACTTACATTTACATAAAACGTTTCACATTTTTCATGTTTATCCTGTGCAGATGGCTCCATTTTGAACATCCAGAATTTGTTTTGACGTTGTGACTGTAGCTTGTAAACAGAGAGTTGGCTGGCATCTGCACCAGGGAAAGGTAGCTCTTTGCTTTTCGTCTAAAATGGAGTGAGGCTGCAGCCAAATGGTTAGTCAGTCATGTTGGGATCTGGCTGAAGGCAGCATGTCCAACCCATGAGGGAAGCTCAAATCGGAGGTGATAGCATTGACCGTAAGTTGACAAACGCATCCATTTGTCGCAATGTTTCACTTGCACAGCTGCTTTAGCCAGGCTCTAAATTCAGCTTTGCAACTCCAAGCATCTCACTATTAAATGTTTTGAACCAAATCACGCAGAAGCTACACAAAGTGAATGTGTTGATACAAATACTGCAGTGAGAAGGCATACGTACACATGTATTTATAACTCAACCTGCAGAAAAACTCACTTGCATCCCTATTTAGCTTGAGAACACCAGCACTGATTCTTGTCTTTCTGTATTACATGTATGGAAATGACTTTGAAGGACAAACAAATATCAAAAATGTGAAGTTCTCTACTCATACTTTTGGTCAGATACACTGTAGTCTTGCAGGTGAGGTTTTAAGGTTGTTTTTTGTTGATGTTGCTATCAGTATTTAGACACTGTAGCTCTTTTGTATACGTTAGTTAACAGAAAGGGACATCGGTTTTATTGTTATTTGAAAGAATTTGAGCCACCTTCTGCTTTAAAAAGCAGCCTGTGACTCTTTCATCTTTAGTTTAAGCAATTAAATTGAAGGATAGATAGCCAGAGTGTGTTCAAAGCCTTGGCTTTATTTTGCCAGGCCTAATTATTCCAGACAATACAAAATATTTTTCTGTAACCCCCCTCTTATCCACTGAGAGTATATATGTGCTTCCTGCTTATCTGTTGGTTCAGTTCTGCTTGCACATTGCTCAAGTCTGTCACCTTGCTGGGGAAATACATGATTTGTAAATCTGAAAGAATTCCCCAACAGCTACCATAAAATTAAGCTGTTAAGGAGCTCTTGTGGCTTGTTTAAATGTAGACCTAAACAAACCTCTTTGCTGTTTAGCCCAAGATTAATCTTTTAAAAGTCCTGTTCTAAATCACTTCCTAATTTTAATGAGTTTATATATCAGCCTTTGCCAGATTTTTACTGTCGCCGTTCTCAAAGATTACAGCAGTGATAAAGATAGGACTAAAATTGTTTATTATATATTATTCTTCAGAAGCACAACTTTTTCCCCCAGAGGCTGTTGGGAGAGTTATTGATTTTCTGCCACAGCATGAAATGTGTGACCTTTATAATATGAGCAATGATTACAAGGCCAATAAAATGACATCATTCTATTTAAACTTCAGAGTTCGCAGGGCAAATAGCAGCTTGTGCCACGTTCTGTGATGTCCGTGGACGATAAGTGTACATTGCCTGACTTCAAGTGAGATGGAAGCACTGAGCAGATGGGCTGTTCACCCCCAAAATGCCCACTGTTTTTGCTTGGGGGGCAGGAACCAAGTAAAGCTATAGCTTTTCACAACTCTTAGGTAGGGCAGGAAGTCAATGATGTTCTCAGGGCTGGCATTTCTAAGAGGGACATTTCTAATTGTTTGCTGCTACTGATACTACTGACAAAACTCCTGATGTGAGACAAGATCAGATATTTGGATCACTACTTTCATACATGTTTTCCTCAATCAACTGTGTTTGTTATTACAAGGCTAAATTCTGTTCTTGTAATGCAGCTTTAGTCATTCACTGCAGTTCCTCCACGGTAACTAAGGATAAATCTCAGATATATAAAGTGTAACTGTTGAAAGCATACTGATATGGATGGGTTGATGGTTGGACTAGATGATCTTAATGGTCTTTCCAAACATTAATGATTTTACGATGTTCTAATACAAATGAAAACCAGGAATACAGCAAGCTTCACAAGCTCTAGGCAGGCTCGGAAAGGGATTCCACAACCTGCTTCACTGAAATTGTTTAAGAAGATAAATTTCTGGAACCTATTTCCCACATCAGTCACATCAGCCTGTTTCCACACACTATTTTCTTCTGTTCCTTCAAAAACTCTCCCCTTTTGGATCCATCAAAACTTGCTTCAATCCACTCCCACCCCATTCGCCATCCTGTGCCGCTGTGCCCAACCAGCTCCCAGCAGATTCTCACTTGGTCCAGCAGGGCCATGCACTGGTGTGCTCTCTGCTCGGACAGCACATGCCAGCCATCATTGAGGAAGGAATAGGGATAATTTTCTTCCCCATTTCTGACTCATTGTGCAATATCAATAATCTCTGTAGCTTTGTATTATATTTGCCGTAAGTGGCTCTCGTGATTGATTAAACACCTTAGCTTTTCTTTGGCGTTTAATCAATTGCAGCAGCAGCGGTTTATTGCTTGGTATATTACAAAGTAAAAGAGATTATTACTTAATTATTCTGAAAAATAGCAGCTTGCAGTTGTTGCTCACATCGGTACGTGCCTATGCTAGCATGGGTGTCACATCGTCTTTTCCTCCTCAACTCTGCTCTGGGAGAGAACTCACAGCTCCCTGGGCAGCTGTCACAGGGTCAAACATAGTCCTTCACACAGCCATTGCCAGCACGGTGCAATTAGTGGCATTAAATAAATAATTGCTTACAGAGGGGCTTCCCACAGTGCCAAGTGCCTGATTCTGTCGCTTGCTGGATCCCTCCAAGTCTCACTTAAATTTTAAGCGATGTCCTTATTAACGAGCCCACCTGAATGTGAACTCACTGTCAGGTACTAAGCACTTCTGGAAGCAATTCAGCAAGAATTACATTGGTACCAGGAGGCATCCTGATAGCCCAGGGTGCAGCGGCGGATGTGTGCACAACTGGAGATAAATCAGATACAGCAAATGTTATTGCTGTCTGAGCGTGCAAAGGAAAAAATAATACTTTGTGACATCCTCTTGAGGATCCAGGAAACGGTGACTCTTCTGTTTTAACACCTGAGGTTTTCTGCCATGAGTGCAAAATTGAATTCATATGCAACAGTTCAGAAAGAATACTGTGGTGTGATAAAGCATAAGGACTCAGGGTAGCACTCACATCTCTGCCTGTAAGGATGCCGCAGGTAACATGGTCAGTTCTTAGGGCATTCTTAACCATCTTGTGTGGAGTAGGATCTAACCAACTCATGATTTAGAATTTTAAAAATGGCATTTACTTCTTTGCTTTGCCTCTAACTTTCTCTGTGGTCATAGGCAAGTAATTTTCTTTTCTTTGTCTCTTCATTTGTGTGTGGGAGTAACTGCTGTTCATTACCTTAGAGATGCATACAGAATTAAGTACTGCTAGCTGCTGTCCCATTGTGATAATGGACACCATATACGTTCTGTCAGTAGAAAAAAAAATCTTTAAAGCTCTGATCCTGTAAAGAATTGCATGAACCACAGCAGTGTGCTTGACTCGAACAGTCCTAGTCATGGAAGATCAGTCACAGTGCACCCACTGAACGTTTTAAGCATTTTCCAAAACTATATATTGGATGGAGTGGGGAGTTGGGGGTGGCAGATTCATAATTTTTGTATGAGGGAATACAACTGAAGCTAGTATGCTACTTACTTTTGGTCTATATAGTAGCTGAGGTCTGACCGTCACCTTTCTAGGCAGCTTTGTGAATCCAGGAGGTTGGTAGTGCACTTGCTTATGCTTCAAGCTGGCATTGCCTGTGAATAGTGATGCTTTGGCCAGTCCGTGTAAGTCGTGCAGAATTGTATGCTGGTTTTGTGTTGTTTGTGCAATGGCTTTTGCAAGTACTCTAGCAGAATTGGAGCGAGCAGACGTTGACTGTCCAGTGACTAGGAGAAGTTCATGTTTCTTTGAGAAGGTGCTGGATGGTCCTAACCATTAAAAGAATTTATTTTCTTACTCCAACAGATTTCCCCTCCCCTCCTTGATGTGACAAAATTTATTATCACTTTTGTCTTTCAGGTGTAACCTGTCTTTAGTGTTGCAGACACATCAGCCACCATGCATTAAGAACTGGGCCCTTACTTTAATTCAGTATAATTTTCTTTTTGTCCAATAATTTCACAAGCACTAATCCACACTTCAAATGCAGGAGATACTTTGATTTCCCAAATTGTTCAGCACTTCATGCAGGAAAAACCATAGGCCACAGTCATGAAACTCCTAGAGGATGGCTGCTGGCTTCCTGTGGCAGAGCTGGTTGTTGTTTTCCCCCCTTCCCCCACTTTGCTCTAACCATTTTGTCTGTCTATCTTGTCTTGTATTCAGTTTTCAAAGCAATTGCCATGAAGGGCTTCCTTTTTTTAGTGCCTAAAGGGAACAATAGATTTTTAGAATAAGCATGTAGATTTATATGACTATCTGTTAATGCCTATCGTATCTATCATATATGCACTTCAATATAACGTACGCAGAAGTTCAAGCTAAGTAGAAATTAATATTTATTATTGTTATTTCTGATGAAAAGGTCTTTAAATGTATCTTTAAATGGACATGACATTTAAAATTATTTCAGTACTGGATTCCTGAAAAACTAGATGACCTTTTCTCTTGAAATTGGAGAGGCTTTCTTCCTTAACAGTTATATTATGCACAGAAGATGAGATGTTAACCGAGATGTTAAAATGTATTGTTTCCCTTTGAAAGCTAATCCTGTTCCTCATTTTCATTAATGTTGGCTCATTCGTTTTTCTTTCTTTCCTTTCCTTTCCTTTTCTTTTGCAACTGTTTTTGCATGAAAATGCAGAGTAGCAATAAACAGATTTTTTGTAAGACTTGCTTTAAGACTCTTCTCTTTCAGATCCAGTTAAAGTTTTAAGTTCAGTTATTTTAAAATTCATATTCCGTGGTTCCATAAACAAAAAAAACCAAAAACAAAAAAAAAAAAAAAAAAAAAAAAAAGGGGGAAATATAATGAGGTGCAGAGCAATTTTCTAGCCCTCACTAATCTAAATGCCAACAAAATGGGGATGGCGTAATGTTCGTAATTTCATTGTCTGCTGTTACCAGGTCACCAAGAGACAGTAGCAGAAGTGGGGAGAAGCTGGAATTGGCCATGTCCAACCTCACTGCGGATGTCCTGGAATTACTCCTGGAGTTTGTTTATACAGGTTCTTTGATCATAGATTCAGCCAATGCAAAAACTCTCCTGGAAGCTGCCAGCAAGTTCCAGTTTCACACTTTCTGTAAAGTCTGCGTTTCATTTCTAGGTAAGAATCATTTCATCTAGTTTTTTAGGTTTTAAGATTTACTTCACTTTAAGGTTTGTAAGACTTCCTTTTAACTCATAATAATTAGGAGAGTTAAATGTAATTTAAAAACAAAACAAAAAAAATTAAAAAACCAAACCAAACAAAACCAACCGTGATTTATTTAGGTTGGGGATTGAATGCCAACAAAGTGGCTTACAGAAGATAATCCAGTGAAGTCTAGCCTGTTGTATGAGTGACAATAGCTTTCACAACTTGGATAGACTCTTCTATTGAATCTTGTTTTATGATCGGTGCCACGGTGACATCTTGTTTCACAGATATTGATATCTGTATGGAGACCTGACTATAATACACAAGTTGTTTGTGACAGCAAATATTGGGTATTGCACCTGCCAAACGATGTTGAAGTTGGAGGGGAATTCCCAGGGAGGAGTCAGGATCTGCAATTTCCCTGCACCTGTGAGAAAATCTTTCTGGTGTTCTCATAAACAAGGTCTGATTGAACTGCTGCAGGTTGAATGGTTGCAGGATTTGCTTTTTTGTATGGAGAGGTCTGATGCATGCATATCCTTACAAATAAGTTACTCTGGTAACTAGTGTGCCCTATGTGCATGGGGAGTGTTTGTCCCAGTGAAAGTGTACAGAGTAATCTCATGCCAGTCCCCCTGTCCATTCCCAATGGTCCCATGTGAAGCCTATTCTAATCCACAGCACCATGTCATCCTGCTCTTGCATTTCCTGTATCTTCCAGTACAGACCGTTTCAAAACCATCCAGTGTTACCAGATCAGTTTAGTGAGCTTTACTGGTCCATACTGGAACCAGCCAACCCCATTTCTGTCATGGCAGAACAGGAACCAGAGGTGGAACTCAACTGAAAATCACGTTGGTCCAAATTCCTGTATCACATGCCACTCCCTTAATAACAGGGCTATAATTTCACTTAACAAGACAGTAATCATTTATAAATTATTGATTAACACAAACTTTTTAACACACAAAAAATGTGATCTTGATCTTACATTGCTTACTTCCCATATCCACATTCCAATATATATGTTTTTTGATGTCTGATTTCTGCACTCCCTCAACCCTTGGCTTGCTATGGGAGATGTCATTCTATTTGAACTCCAAATTTATCTTCAGCCCACATGACCTATAGGTTCTTCCTAGTCAATTTTCGCTAAAAATACACATTTCAAATTGCAGCATGTGAAAGATGGAAGTTAAGAAAATGTCAGTCATTTTTTAAAAACAGTCCTCAGACGAGTCCTGTTGTCTATGGTGTTAATTCTTACTGCTAATCTGGCCTGCTGACAAGATTAGTGGTGTGACCAGGCTGGCACCACTGCAGGCGTTCAGTAAAAAATCTGTGCTATTGTATTCCCTTCTTCTTCCCACTTTTTTTAATGTTACATTTATACATCCGTTCCCAAATGTGTGGATAATGGCGAAATGAAAAATGTACTTTGCAATTCCGTTGTGTTGGTTGTGCAGTTTGAGTGAGGGCTCTGGTTGTAGCATTGCTTTCCCCCAGCTCCTCTTCACCACTTTTCATTATTAGACCTTACGGCCTTTCTAGGAAGAAGAGATGTGTTTAAGTTGCACAGTCTCTAAAGCTTCCACCACAAAACCAAAATGCATTTATTTCACTAAATCAATGTGAGATTTCTCCTTTCCGATATTTAATATTTGAATTCAGTGAACCATGTTATGGTGTGAAATAGTAGAGTTGGTTATAAGTTCAGTGATATATGGGGAGTCGCTGGAATTTTGTATTCTCATTTGGAGAATTCATGGAGTGTAATTGCTTATTTTTGTTTATAGCTGTGGCTGAATTGCTCTGCAGAGATAGTATAGCATTTGCCATGTAAAAAAAAAAAATTAAAGAAAAGCATTTTGCTTTCTCTATGGCTTTTCATCCCAGCCACTTCTACTTCCTCCCAGCAAAGCAGAAATATTGTAAAAATAGGGTGGGTTTTTTTCTAGGGTTTCTGGCAGATTCATCATTACAAAGTGATCCTCTCCCATACATAACCATGTCTAAACAGTGAGAGAAGTGGAAGGATAAGTGGAAATAAAATAAAAGAAAAAATTAATTGGCCTGTTGTGCACAGCATAACAACATCCCAGGTGAAATTTGTATCATCTTTTTTAAGTGGTGAGGCTCCAGAAGGATCCTTCTTGGATGACGTCTAGGCAGCTCAAGCATCTCCAGCAGTGTTGCTCTGGGCGGAGGCACCTTGAATCTGTTCTCACTTTCTGGTAGAAACCTGTTGCAAATGTGCTCAGAAGACTGTTCCATTTCAACCAGAGATTTATTAACCAACTTCACTAGGCTAATTATAGCCATGTTCTCTCCTTCACACATGCTGTCTCCCCTGCTTTTGTCTAGACCATGCAAAGTGACAACAGTTTCTCAGCTGATGCAGCAATGTTGACAAGTTCATGCAGTTGCCATATGATAGCTGGGCAAATGTTTGCAAACTGGCCAGGACATCATAGGTATTTCCTCAATCCATATGTCTTAAGACTTGAGAGATTTTTCTTTTCTTTTTCTCATATTTCTTTTGCAACGAAATGATGCTGCCATTACAGTCATGGCTCGAATCAGGAGGATTCAGTGGGAATTTCAGGAGGTCCATCAGTACCAAGTTTGGGCTGGGATGCAGAGACTCCCATTGCAGGAGTGAACAGACTGTGAGCTTGCATTTCTACCTGTTGCTGAAATTTTACAAATTCACTTCCTTCAAGTCTAAAGAAATTGGTGAAACCTGTTAGATTCACGGAGAAAAGAGCAGGAGCTCTGACTTCAGTGCCCTGGAAGAAAAGCACAAAGTTTAGAAAGTAAATGTGTGGGAGCAATGAGAAAAGCCTAATGAAGGACCAGTGACCTCCGTAAATGTACTCAAGCACCCAATGGTAGAATAGGCTTTTATAGTTCTTATGAATTCAAGAAAGTGTTGTAGGTAATTTTTGTTTATCCATGGTGGAAAATTTTCAGCCAGATGGAGAACCACATTGGCCAGTGCTGGAGAAACTAAAGCATCAAGCTTTTCTAGAGATAGGAGATAAAAGGAACACTCTCACTGTAGAACTGAAGTCTTCGGACAGTGAATGCATCCGTAAATCTTCCCTGTCTTGCTTGTGTTTGTGACATAGGCAACTGAGAAAGAAATAAGATCCCTATCAGAATGACCACAGTGTATGCTGAGAAGTGCAGGTTTTGTGCTATTTGAAGATATCGAAATCATCATCTAGAAACCATCTCTAAGTGAAATACTAAATGCACACATAGGGATCTTGTGCCAATCACTGATTTTCCATGCTGATATTACTGCAGTCTCACTCAGTAATTCTTCTGACTCTACTCTAGAGGACTTTATCTCTGCTGTTCCTTTCATTGCCATCCAAGAAGTGCAATCTTAGCAGTCTGCTGGTTGTTTTTCTCATGCTGACTTAGTACATGATTCCAAAATTGCACGTAACACAAGTGAGGAATACTGGTTGCTGACCTGCAGTATTACATGGAGACAAATATGATATCCAACACTGACTCCAACTGGTGAGAACCTTCTAGATTACATCAGATATCCTTAAAGCCCATAAAGCCATTTCTGTTACAAACCATCCTTGAATGCTGTGTCAGTAGTCGTGTTCTGAACGAACTCAAGGTGAAATTCCACAAAAACGTGTTGTTCCAAGTCAAGTGTCACTGTGACAAAAACAGCGATCGTTGTAACCATGTCAGCATGCAAAGGAAAATGGCTCAGCAGCAGATGGGGCAGAACTGGTCCGTAGCTGTCTTTTGATTGAGTGCATCCCTGGGATTGCTTGGGATTGGCTGTATTATGTAATGGAAGTTTGTAGGTAAGCAGTCATTTAATCTTCCTTTAGAGTCAGATAAGAGTAGCAGGCACTAGTAGGGCATGATTCTGCTCATCCTGAAGTGGAGATCCAAAATATTATCAGATAAATTGCCTCTTGGGGTCTACCATCAAGCAGTTTCAGGGAAGAAGCTGTGAATCTCTGCAGCAATACGTGGAGCTGCTTGGACACCCCATGTACCAGGGCTGCATCAGCACAACAATACAGGAATTAGAGAAACTTATCCAGATGAGAAGAAATCAGCTGTGAGCTCTGCTTTTTCTGCCCCATACCTCAGGCTCAGCTGGGGAAGATATGGGAATCTGTCCTGACAGAGGCTAAGCTAGGCCCTTCAAGGGAAAGATTCATTCTTGCAGGTCTTTTCCACTGTATGCTAGTAAACGCACAATGAGTCAAACCTGATTATTTCCTTGATTATAAACCTTATGAGGATGAGGTGGGGCAGTGCCAGATTTGTCTTTGACTTGGAGGTTTGCCAAGCAATGATGAGAGGCTCTGTTAGGTGATTATTTTACCCATAGCCATATGTATACACAAAGCTGCTGCCAACGGACAGAACCAAAAGCCTTTGAAGAGATTTTTGGTTCTTTTAATTGGAAAATCAGAATTTTTGGGAGCTTTGTGCTTCAGCTGTCAGTTTGCAGCCTGTCTCTGGGCAGGCTTTGAGTGACAAAATCTTCTGACAGAAAGCAGTGCCACTGTTCTGGTGTGCTTCAGGAAATGGGCTTCTTGCAGTCAGCACAATCAAATGATGCAAAATGAGATAGCCTTCTTTCAAGATAGTTAGAGATGCAGAAGAAAATAATTTTTTAAAAAAATTTATTTTATTGAAGAAAAAACCAACAGCCCACACACAGAAGGGGGTGTCTTTAAGCTAAAAAAAAAAAGGGTTGTAATCCCATTTTAATAAAAGCCATGTACCGATAGCATGCAGGTTTTACATCTGGTGAGGGCAGAATCTGAGTGTAGGGACAAATCACTGAGCATTTTCAGTGGAGGCAATGCGATGGGAGTTGTGCTTGAAGAGGTTTGAGGCTACCTGACATTCCTCTCCAGTGCTCTGAAATAACGCACTGAGCTATGACACTGCCCAAATGGGATGCACTTTTTTTTTGTAGCAGCACGGAAGTCTGCCACCAGTCCTGATGTGGTCTATTGGGTGGTGAGGCACTGGAACAGGTTGCCCAAGGAGGCTGTGGATGCCCCATCCCTGCAGGCATTCAAGGCCAGGCTGGATGTGGCTGTGGGCAGCCTGGGCTGCTGGTTGGCGACCTGCAGGCAGCAGGGGGTTGGAACTGGATGAGCACTGTGGTCCTTTTCAACCCAGGCCAATCTATGATTCTATGATTCTATTGAAGTCTGTCTCCCCCTCTTTTTTTTTTTTTTTTTTTTCTGTCTTACATCTTAAAGAACATACCAGTAGTGGCTTGGTTAATAGAATCTGAGAAAAAAATCGAGTTCCTCTTATGAATTTCTGAAGTTGGTGGGTTTTTCCTGAAAGGGAAAAAAAGTACAGTCAAATGTGTGGTGTAGCACACTTTAACACAAAGCTACACACTGTGCTGTTAGTTCTGTTTTCCGGGTAGGAGATAATGCTGTCTCCTCTGTGCACGATTTTCTTTGAAACTCACTACACAACATTTAACAGAAGGCGTTGGTGTAATCTGTGTTTTGCATAAGGGATGTCATCACATTCAGCAGCAGCAAAGTTCCTTTGAAAAAAAGGAGGGGAGGGGGGATTTTTTGATATATATATTTTTTTATTTGAAGTAGCTTAGTAGCTGAACAGGGCAAAAATTATCATAAAGCGACTGCAGCATCCTCAGAAATGTCCTCAGTGCTGTTTGCATTTATTCTTAAGTGTCTGCACTGCCGTTTACATCATTGCTGTTTCTTAAAGCAACATTGTAAGCGGTACGAATAGCAGGACTCTCTTGGCTGGATTCCTGTCCTTTGGGAAGCCCGAGACAGTATTATGTCAGTGGGTTTTCCCAGTGTGTATGAAGGTTTGCACAAAAAGCAAACACAGAAAGCATGTTTCTCTCCCAGTCCCCAGTTCAGTTGTTAGACAGACTTTGATTTTCTACATTAAGCCCCAGTCCTGAAGTAATACAGGGTGCTGCTTCTAATTAACTCCCTGAAATTAATTAGCGTTGGAGTTCTGTCCGTGGCATTTATTTTTTCATGAGCTCAGTGAAAAAATGTGAATCTTGCTTTTAATAATTCTCACTTGCCTTTTATTTGTTCCTTTTAGAGAAACAGCTGACTGCTAGCAACTGCTTAGGAATATTAGCCATGGCTGAAGCCATGCAGTGCACTGAACTATACAACATGGCCAAAGCATACGCCCTGCAGATTTTCCCAGAGGTGGCAAACCAAGAGGAGATCCTTAATATCTCAAAAGACGACTTCATTTCCTATATGTCCAATGACAGCCTGAACACCAAAGCAGAGGAGCTGGTGTATGAAACAGTGATAAAGTGGATTAAGAAGGACGCTGCAATCAGAGCTCAGGTAAAAATAATCTCAGCAGCCTCACTCCGCTCCATTCCCGTAAATGCTTCTAAAATAGAAACTATCACCGTGAATGTGAGGATGAGAGGGAGATAGGATGGGCAATTCAGATAAAGAAAGAGAAAGGGAATGCAGGCTATGCACAAAATCTAAGTAATTTCACAATCTGATCCCCATATCTGATCATTTAGAGTCAAAATCTCATTTGTGACATGCATTGTACAAAGCTAGGGCTTCAAGCTGCTGGCTGCAAGCTTGGTCGTAGATAAATCAGGAAGGATTAGAGTTGTGGAAGATGTTACTTTATGAAGAGGATGCATTTTAGCAACAGTGGGAAATAAAAATCTATCAGAAAATCAGTATTTCTTTTGATGGCACATCTTGAATGCGTGTAGCTTCAGCACACAACAAGTGATTCTGAATTTCTGTCGGCTACATAGATAACCCCCTGAGTGTTATATATTTATTAGTTAGCCCTTGCTCAACCATCTCTGCTGTGCCGTCTGCCCTCTACTCAAGAAACACGTCTGCCCTCTACTCAAGAAACTAAGCATGTTACTTCACCCAGCACTGTCTCCAGATTAATGCTAAAATCAGTGACTGTTTGATGGTTGTGGTTATCCTTGGGACCAGAGGATTACCATAGTGATAATTAAAAGCCTCCAACTTGAAGGTCTTGAGAGTCAGTCTTGGGTTGTGGCCTGAACCCCAGATCTCTCTTTCTGAAGGACAGAGATGCTGACTGACCTTGGCAAGGGCTTTTCTCCACCTTTCATGTCCTGTGTGAACAGCTAACATAGCTCAGCGAGATTTTGTGCTGGGGAACTGCCAGTCTGCAGCCACCTCATGCACATGCCAGAGGTGTCTTTTAGTATTACCTGATATTGTTATTACCTGTAACTTCTACACAATATCATTGATTTACTGAAATGAACCACTTTCTGGCTCTTGCTGGCATTGAAAAACATGGTTTTATGGAGTATTTCACAGCTTGCTTAACATTTGATGACAGCAGTCAGCTCCATGCAGCTCTGAGCTCCGAAACTAATGCAAACTTAAGGATTATTCCCAGGGGCTGGAGCACGAGAACCCTGCAGCAGGAGACAGTTTGCCTGGTGCAAACAGAAGGTGTCACTCATCAGGTGGTCTGGGTTGTGTTTTCCAAACTGATGGTTAAAATATTTCCTCCTGCGCCCTGCTGCGGTGATGTTATGAATTTATTTTTTAAGTGGTGGTTTCTCCACCACCGCCATCTCCTCCTCTCTTGCTTTCATGTTGTGGTTGGGTTGGTTTTCTGTGTTGTTTTTGTATTTAAATTCCAAGTTTCCTTCTTTTCTTTTCACCTTCTGCAAAGCCTTTGCAGCTGATGCTGGCAGTTTTATTTGCTTCTCCAAATTTCTCTGCGGTGCTTTGGTTTCATGCATTACTTTACAAGGGCTTTTAATTTTTAATTTGTATTTATCCAGAGACGAGGGTCTTGAATAAATTAATGCTAAAGATACCATGCAGATAGCTATTTTCATGTCCAATCCTACCACTAAGCTCGTTTCTTCAGATGGCTGTTGTTCCTGGTTGATTCTATTTTTTTTTTAACTCTGTGCACTGCGTGATCTATGATAAAGCTCTTAGTTAAACAGGTACTTGTTTTTTAAAAGTGGGAGCTCATACTTACCATGAAAAATACCATCTTTACAAAAATGACTACTGCATTTTCAGTACTCAGAAACAAATAGCTCTGAGGGTGGGTTGGAAGGAAGAGTTTTAGCCAGAAACAGCCCAAAGCCCACCTGGGTAAGACATTGGTCATTAAGTCTCCTGCAACCTGGATTTCCAGGACCCTCACCTTCTTCATACTTCTCATCTGCCCTTACCTGACAGGCCAATCTCTGCTGTCACATTTGAGGGTTTTTATTCTTAATGGCTCTGAGTCAGGTGATGTAAGTGCCTCTTTCAAAGCTTCTTTAGGGCACAGCAATTCACCCAAAGGCAGGTTTCTGGCACCAGCAGAAGAGAAGAGGAATTATCCTCTGGAGAAGAGGATAAGAGGGAGGGTTCACGAGTGACCTGATCTACAACTGTCTGAAAGGAAGTTGTGGCACGGTGTGGGTTGACCTCTTCTCTCAGATAACAGCAAGACAAGAGGTTTTAAGTTGTGTCAGGTTGGATATAAGGAAAAACGTCTTCTCCAAAAGGGTGGTGAGACATTGAAAATGGGCTACCCATAGTATGAACCTTCACCTAAAGGTACATCTCAACCTGTTATGTGAAGCTAACATGGCCATTCCCCACACCAGAGCACCTTGAGCTACGCTGTTACAGCAACATGTGTGTCACTGCCTGTCCTGTTCCTCTTGAAAGGACCTCTCTGGAGATTTTCTCACCCATTCTCATGGAAGGGCATTGAGTTACATATCCTTATGATTCTGTACCTTTCTAAAAGCTCTTCTTTGGGTATCAGATTCTTTTCACTTTTGTTAGTCTTTCACCATCAGGTTGGAGGGCAGTGGTAGGGAAGGAATCAGAGTTCATCTGCAAAATGAGTTGAAAAGCTATATTCTGACTTTTAATTTTGCAAATTGTTCTCATATGAGGTCTTACGGTGTTAGGAAAAGCATCTGTGGGATTGCAAAGAAACAGCACCTTAAACTTGTTACGAAGTAAAAATAACAGTGCTTTAAAGGTTGCTGATCCAGCTACATGAAACAGAGAATCAGTGCAGATAATGACATAAGTGTTAAGCTAAGATTTGGTAAATAGCTGTATCCAGTGCATCAAAGCAGCACGGTGGCTCATCTGGTAACTTTTATGGAGCTATTTTAGGGATGCTTGGAGTGCAGTCGCGTCTAATCAGTCTCACCAAGAGAAGCAGCCTGTGATGTGAAGTCCTGAATACTTGGGTAATTTCCTGTGCCAGCAGAAGCAGAGCACTGGTTGCAGGAATTCCTCCTGATTGCCTGTCACTGTGTGGAAAGTCTGCAGCCAGCTGACACATCTGGAAAAGCTGAATTTACTATTTTTCTATTTACTCCTCTAACTGACTGGTAGACAAGATTGTAGGGTTCATCCTAGCGGTTATCCCCTTGATAAGCTTATTGCAACCGTGGCAAACTCATGCAAAAAAAAGTATAGTGTAATGGAGGCTTTACTGTCCAAAAACCAATATGATCTGAGCCATCCAAACACCAGCAAAGACTCCTGCTGGGCACCCTGGGCCCTTGAGCACAGCCTGAACCTGAATGCATCCCCAAACTGTCTGTGTGGACTTGGACCGGTTGTTTCATCTTTATTCCCCTGTTTATTGTCCTATAAGCTGGAAGGAAGCAATGTCTTCTGCACGTGCTGCTGGGAGGATCCATGATCAGGCAGTGGTTGCTGCCCAGGGAGGTGTGGGAGTCACTGTCTCTGGAGGTGTTCCTGAGCTATTGAGATGTGGCACCTGGAGATGGTTAGTGGGCATCTGGGGTGGGTTGGGGATGGAATAGATAATTATGCTGGTCTTTTCCAAGCTTTATGACTCTATGAAAGAGTGATGAGCTGATGGTTGGACTGGATGATCTTAGAGATCTTTTCCAACCCTTATGATCTTATGATAACGAGCTATAATTGTCCACCATTGCTAATGACCTGCAGAGGTGTGAAATGCTGCAGTTGTGCAGCATCAGTGTGGAATGGGAAGATGTAATGGTGCTGGATATGCTGCAATTTGCTGTTTGCCCACAGCACAGACAGACCAAAGCTCACAGGAAACTTTCCCACCTTCTGCTCCAAGTCCAAAGTTGTGTCCGTTTTCTCCAACATAAAAAACACAGCAACATACCTATTAATAACAGAAAGCCTATGAAAACAAAGTGCCTAGTTGTGTGAAGCTTCCCTCTCCCCCTGAGGAAGGACAAGATGTGAGGAGAGGACAAATATTTCAACAAGCTGAGCAGTTTATGGCTGGAAGAGTGGCAGTTACTGCAGCTGTGAGTGACGGAGCAGAGGCTCCGCTCATTGGCAGTCACCTTTTGATGCACTCTTCATGGATGTAATTGTGTGCCTGCTTTTAAACCCCTTTTAAAATCACAATGTCCAACAGCAAAATGAAATGTCTGTGCCATAGAGGCATTAAAAAGCCTTCTATGAACTTGTGTCCTCAGAGGCGGATTTGTCTAAACAGCATCTTCATGGTGCCTGGGAACCAGAGATGCGTAGACAAATTGGAGGTAATTTAGAGAAGAGCAGCACAAATGATTAAAAGAGTGAAGGAATTGATGTGAGAAAGAAAGATTAAAAGATGTGAATATGCATGACTTGGCCTAATGACAGCTAGAGAGAGATAAATGTCTGTAAGTGTTTGAAGTCCAAAGGAGAGGAGTTGGCTGGGAGGATACAATGAGGGTGTGACAGCTGTAGGACCATGGGGATGAAGTTGAGACCATGCAAATCAGTCTGAGCAAACACAATGCCTACATGAAGGCACTCTATGTGGAAATGAGGATAAAGAAAAGTGAAGGAGAAGAGAATTTGTCAAAAATGTTAAGAATGCCAATGAGCTGTATTTTAACAATTAAAAAGAATTGACAGGAAACAAGAAACTGTGGAGGAGAAGCAGGTGGGTAACTGTGAGAGAGCAAATCGAAGGTCTCTGGTCTGCAGTTAAGATGGCAGCATAATTCATCATGCAGATTTTACAGAGTCTCCAACATTATGCAAAAGACCAACACACTCCAAGACTAGGAGGAATCAGAGAGGGAATGAGCATGATTTTGTGGTGACAAGGAGGTAATGATCTATTCAAACACTGATACACAATGCCAGCATGTACAGATCGCTTAAGTTGATCATAATAGGAAATTAATTGATCAATCAATGTACTTAAGAGCATTAAGCTTCAGGAAAGCAGTGCTAGAATAAGTATGAATGGCACGGCTTCCAAGGGAGCCTAAGTGAATTAGGCACTAACACTCTATTACAGTTCAATTAGACTCCTTTGAGAAGCCCAGACTACCCTAATGCTT